CCTGGCCATAAAGGAAATGCAAATCAAAACCACACTAATATTCCCCTTCACTCTTGTTAGAATAGCTATCATCATGAACACAAACAACAACAAATGTTGGTGAGGATGCAGGATAAAGGAACCCTTATACACTGCTGGTGGGAATGAAAGCTAGTACAACCACTTTGGGAAACAATATGGAGGCTTCTTAAAAAACTAAGCATAGATCTGCCATATGATCCAGCAATACCACTCGTAGGGATATACCCAAAGGAATGTGACTCAGGTTATTATAAAGGCACCTGCACATCCGTGTTTATTGCAGCACATTTCACAATAGCCAAGCTATGGAAAGAAACAAGATACCCCACTACCAATGAATGGATTAAGAAAATGTAGTATTTATACACAGTGAAATTTTACTCAGCCACAAATAAGAATGAAATCTTATCTCTCACAAGTAAATGGATGGAACAGGAGGACATCATCTTAAGCTAAGTTAGCTAGGGTCTGAAGGCCAAAAATCATGTGTTCTCCCTCATATGCGTATTATAGCCCTAAAACAAATGCAGTAATATTATTGGACATGTGTCACACACTAAAGGGACTGTGCATGGGAGGAATAGGGAAAGGGAAGGAAACCCAAAACTTGATTGATGTGCTCACTGTAGAGGAATGAATATAGTAATCTTAATACACAAGTACGTGGAAGGAACACTAGGATTCTCTCTGTATAGCTATTTTATCTCTAACAAAAATGCTATATCTTTCTTACTATCTCTTATGTTTTCTCTTCACCAAAATTGGAGAACAAGCAGGGCAGGGGAAGGAGTGCAAACAATGTATACACATGAGAGTAAATGTAAAAATGATTACAAAATTTTTTAAAAACCTAAGGTCTAGTAAAATAAGACATTAACTATATCAAAGTTCTACGAATCTTGGACTGTCGTGTGAACTAGGAAAACAAAACAAAAAAAGTATCCTTCATTCTATTTGAAAGATCATATTTTTACTGCTTATCTACATTAAACTGTTTCCCAAAACTCCTATGTGATTGTACTGAAACCTGTTAGACCCTTTTATCCTGACCAACCACTATCCTTACATACATGCGTACGCACGCACACACACACAGAACAGATAACAGACACTCCTTACATCCAGCTCTGCCAATATCTCCATCATTTCCATCACAATAAGTAGTGAGTCAGTTATGAAATGGTAAGCCAAGCTGATTATTTGTGACTTGTGGGTAAAATAACATGTCAAACTTGTTACCATCTTTGCAGAGGAGGTGTATCACCTTCATCCTGGCTGATAATGACTGTGCAGAAACTTCATTCCTGAAATACTGTGCTGGTTGGAACTCAGCTAAGCAACCTCATTTCCTTGAAAACTTGCAAATGTTTAAAGAAATGGCCATGATGCCTCCATAGCCATTTTTGCAATAATCTGGATTTTTTTTTCACTAGCAAGAAATAAATCTGCATGGTTCTGATTATTATTAGTCAATGTACCAATATACCAGGTACAGTGAGAAACCAGCAATCAGAAATACTAGACTCAGGAAGGGATCTGAAATGAAAATCCTTAATGGATTAAGGAAGGTTCTTATAGTTCCTGAGAAGTTCCCCCAAGTGTGTCTCAACTATAAAGTGCCCGCCTAGCAACTCAAAGCCCTGAGTTCAGACATCAGTACCATTAATTAATTAATTAATTAAAATTTAACTTTTTTCTTTGAAAACATAAAGCTAAGTAATTCCATTTTCTCCTTGGGACTATAGGCATTTAATATTCAAAATTTATAAAATTGTGTTATTTATTTTGAAAAACTATGCAAGATGGTATAACATGAAAAGTAAATAGAAAAAAATAACACTATTAGAGTAGAAAACTAAAATAAAGTATTAAATAGCTTCCTCTAGAGCCAGCATTAGACTATGGGAGCTCTCTGGGTCTTTATTTACCCTTACTAGTAAATTCAGTACCAAGAACAGATGTTCTACTACTTCTTTCTGCATAATAGAATAAGCCAAACCCTGAGCACTTTGTCTCTCTTATGATCTTTTTACTTAAAACGTTAGAATTACCTAGTGAGACTGCAAAATCAGAACAACAAAAGCAACACAAATAACCTATTTAACACATAATGAGGTTTTGTTCTTTGTTATTTAAAAGCTAGTTACTGTGACCTCCTCACCACAGTAATAAGAGGTTGTGTATTAACCTTTTAACAGGTTCTTTCTCTTTATATTGGATCACTAAGAATTACTGAACAGGGCAATGGGTGAAAAATATCAGAGTAGAACGTTTGCTAAGTTATTTGTGTGGTGAGATGGACCAGAAGGGCTTTTGAAAACATGCCGAATTTGGGGCTGTCTTTGTCTTCATTCTATTTTGGTCTAAGGAGAAGATGTGAGAAGTAAATATAGAAAACTTTACATAGTGTATTGTGTAATTATACTGGTTTATAGAGGCAGGAGACTGAGGCTGGGGACCTAGAGGGTGTGGTGCTGATTTCAGTCAAGGGTTTGAGCCTCTGTTTCCAAATTTGTTAAAATGTTGACAAATGAAATGTCCCATACAGTTGTTTTGAGATTTTAGCTAATGAATTTGAAAAGGCTTTGCAAAATATGAAGCCCTATGCATATTTTGTTGTTGCCACCAACTTTTGACTTGCTATTTTTGTGACGAAAAAATTCTTTCCTGATAAAATATGACTATACCTCTGTAGCACAGAATCCACTATGTATTTACAATAGAATTGGCTAAGATTTTATAAATTGCCATGAAATGTCATAGGCTGATTTGCCTTTTTGGTGATTTTGTACATTAATCACTGAATAACCTTCAGTTTTCCAAATAAAGAATAAAAAGAGCAGTGATGACATTTGTAATCATGTACAGAAAGGGACTTATTTAAATTCTTCACAGATGGAGAGATATCAAGGGTAAATCATTATACCCACATTTCTAATTTTAAGAAGCTCTGAGGATGTTTGTGGATAGTAAGGAGCAAACATTGTTTTGCATATAGAATTATTCATAAACTTTGCATACCACAGTCTCAGATCTTCCATATGATTCTGGGAGACCATTACCTTATTATTGAGACATTTATAAAAAGAAACTTATGTTAAACTACATGCAATACACAAGCTGAGCAAATTGGTGCACAAGGCTAGTGCCCTTTTAAACTGAGAATCTGCATATCTTAGAATTTAATTTGGCTTAGTGCTATGTAAAGAATGACATGTGACATATACCCCCAAGTCTAGCCTCAGAAGAGTTTATTATTTCTGATCAAACTGCACAACTCATTTCATTTCAAACAACATAATTCTACCCAATATTTTCTGTAAACTATCTCTGACAATAAATACGGAACAGTGCTTGAGATTTTTAGCAAATGCCAAAGATATTTGCATGGTGTCTGGTATTCTTTAAAAATAATTTCAAGGGTTGGAACATGTTCACAGGGATACACACAAGAAAATCTAGTGCCAAATGTTCTTTGGACTTTGAGATATATAACATATGGAAGTACTTTCTATGAGTAATAAGCATAAACCCCAGAGGATAAAATGGTATAGTCTGTTTTGTCTACCAAATTTAAATGTTTTTACTAATTCAGAAATTAAAACTTGTTTCTTAAAACAGACATTAAGATTTTCTGAAATACAAATACTTCCTTGTTATTCTGTTTTATATGTAGTTTTAAATTAAGATATTTTAGTAACCCCTAGGTTCATAATAGAAAAATCAGATGTAAATATGAAAAACACTGATAAACTCACTAGACATAACTGTCAATATGACTTGTCATTTTACTATCCTGGATATTCTTCCTATATATCCTATATATATATATATATATATATAAATATATATATATATATATATATATTTATATATATATATATATATATATATTTATATATATATATATATATTTGAAATTTAGTTTGGAAAAGAAGATAGAAACTGTTATTGTGATACCAAATGAATACTACCACCAGAAGAAAAATGTTCACTTTTCAAGACTCTGGAAATGATTTTTGCCACCACATTTTAGAACTGCTATAGTATAATAGGCAAATACTCTTAGTCATACAAATTGAACATCCCCAATCAAAAAAAAAAATCCAAAATACTGCAAAATCAGAAATTTTCCCAAATATTGATAAGTAGAAAATACCACACTTTATCTCATGCGACAGGTCACAATCAGATGCTAAAAATATCGTATCCAAAGACCTTCAGCCTATGAGTATAAAGTGCATATGAAACATAAATTAATTTTGTGTTTAGACTTAGGTCCCATCCCCAAGATTTCTCATTGTATATGTGCAAATATTCCAAAATGCAAAAAAATCTGAAATGCACAATTCTTCAGTCCCTGACATTTCAAATAAGGGGTGCTCAACTTCTATAACTTGGTTCCTCCGGCAAAGCCTCCTTCTCTCTGGGGCTGGAAAGAGGGTAAGCATGAGAGAGATGGTACCGTTGGACTTTCTCATTGCATTCATTGTGGTAGATGTACGTCCTTGGAACTGTTCACAGCTGATCCCTGGCGTCTCTGGAATGCTCCTGGCTCCACTAATTAGAATATTCTCAGAGCCACGAGATGGGGCACACATCTTCTATCCCATGCCTATCCTAACTAAGATGGAAAATTAATTCTGCTATTGCCAGGAGACAGCAAAGTAGTTTGTCAGGATGAACCAAAGCGCTTAGACTCAGAAAGTTATTCACCCTCTACTATCATGCAGAAGGAACTAAAGATATTAAGAATGTCTCTCCCAACATCTGTTTGTTATTCATTCATTTTGCTGGCATCTTTAATTTGGGGTGACAGTGCCTTCTGAGACTTTAGGAGCCATCCCTCTCAGTAACCAAATACTGTCCTGAGGGGTACATTTTCTTATGCAGCTGTTCCCTGAAGTCTCAATACTGTGCTAGAGATGGCAGTATGCAATACAGTGTCCTGATGTCTCCCTCTCTCCTTGCCTTCACAGCTGGCGCTACGTACATCTTTGGGAAAAGTGGTGGCCTCATCCTCTACACCTGGCCAGCCAATGACAGGCCCAGCACCCGCTCTGACCGCCTCGCTGTGGGCTTCAGCACCACTGTGAAGGATGGCATCTTAGTACGCATTGATAGCGCTCCAGGACTTGGCGACTTCCTCCAGCTTCATATAGTGAGTACCTGGCCTCGGCCTGGATTCTCTTGTCTTCCTTGTGGTCTGAATTGGTGAGTCAGATGAATGCAGCAGACATTCTATAGCAAAAGTATAGTATACATGTTTATGAAAATTGCCTTCAGTTGTGTAAACCATCTTGTTCATCCATGCCTTGGTGATAAGAACAATTAAAAACTCTTCCCTGTGCCCCATAAATGTAAAGAAATTCTCTACATTCCATTTACATACCCCTCGTTCCAGACTTCCTTTCCCAACTATGTGGCTTGGCCTGCAGTGAAACATTTGGCAGAGCACTTGGGTGTAGACAAGCAAGAGACTTAGCTGGTGTGGTTTACCTTACCTGGTGCAAGTAGCAAAGTCAACCAGAATGTTCAAGATTCCCTAGGCTGAGAATTGGTAAACTTTCTATAGAGAGCTAGTTAGTAAATATTCTGGACCTTGCAAGTCATGCAGTCACTGTTGGTTTTACTGTAGATACTATGCTTTTTTAAAGCATGTGACTATACTTCAATACAAATTCATTTGTAAGATCTGACTACAGGCTGTACATTGGTGATCCCTGTCCTAGGCTGCAAATGGCACAGTAAAGTGTAAGGAATTGTGATTAAAAACTGAAGTCAGAATGCCGGGGTGAGAAGGACACAAAACAGAGCATCATGATGACTAAGAGTTAAGATATTCATGCATATTGTATATTTAACATTTTGCTCTAGGGCTTGCATCTATGAGCCCAATAGGACTGTATCCTCAGTCCCTGCACATCGTAAGAACACAGAGCAAGTCAAAGAAATTAAAATGATTTGGAGGAAAATATTACTTCATTATGAGGATAGAAAATATTTTTATAGCAACAATTAACCCATTTTATCACCTGTTCAATATGCAGTTAAGAAAGTAGGCTAAGGAAAGATATGATTCTCATCCATAAGTACCCCAAGTGCAGCCTCCAAGAGAAAAGAGAGGAATTGTTCTCATTAGTTAGCAATGACAAGGCTAGAAAGAATGGATTTAATTTGGAGCAATAAGAATTCAGTTTAAATAGCAGGGGGAAAAAGCAGTTAAGAAAAAAGATCATCTAGGGATTAGTACCAATTTCCAAAAAGAAGAAAAGGAACATTGACTGGGAATTTTTTAATCAGTTTTGCTAATGTCCAGAGCTGGGAGAGAGGGGAGGACAGGGAAGCAGATTATGAGATTTCGTTGCTTGTCTCCAGAGTTGGAGGTGGCTGGCAGGAACAGCAGGCTCAACCCTCAACAGTGCCCATCCTTCAGCACCTTCCCTTCTGCTTCAACCATGACTTGAAATGGAGCAGCTCAAAGTGCCAGGCTTTAGCAAGAGCAGTTCCTCTACTTCAGAACCCAGGAAAGGACTGGTCAGAAATGATCACCATCAAACCATGGAAGAGGGGGTCTGAAGAATGTTTAATTCTTTCTTAGATGCTTCAGGGCCATATGGTGCGATGAGTCTGAGCTCAAACACTTTTAAAAGCCATGCCAACCAGCAAAGAGAAAGGCAGCCATAGTTACTACAGTTTGTCTTTATTTGGCCTCTAAGAACCACCATAATTTACAAAACTGAGATTTATGCTGCGTATCACTTAATGACTATTTCATGGCAGCTATAACTAGGCTATTATTACTGGCTCACTTGCATTTTCATGGTGATTTATCTTCCTTCTTTGTTCAGTGTGTCTTACTAAGAAAAATATGATTTGGCACAGCCATGAGCATATTTTTAGAGTCAGATGATGTGCATCAGTTTGTGTATCAGTTTGTCCCCATTCATGTTCTGTAGGGCAGCTTTGCTTTTAAGAAAGAGGTTCTCTGCTGGGTGTGGTGGCTACTTGGGAGGCAGAGATTAGGAGGATTGTGGCTTGAGGCCAGCCTGGGAAAAAAGTTAGTGAGACTCCCATCTCAACTAATAAGCTTGTCAGGGTGGTACATGCCTATAATTCCAGAAGGGAAACAGAAAGGAAGATAGTGGTCCAAGGCCACCTCCAGACTAAAATGTGAGACCCTATTCAAAACATGGGGAGGCTGGGATATAGCTAAAGTTGTAGGCACTTACCTAGCAAGTGTGAGGCCCTGGGTTCAAACCCCAGTACTGAAAAAACAAAAAGCAAAACAAAAATAGAAAGGTTTTCTTAAAATTGACAAGATTTTAAAAAATTTATATGTGGATACTGGGAACTTCTAGCAGGAACCAGAGTATCACAGTATATCATATTATGCCTCTATGAAGTGCTATCACTTCCTTGGTGTGTTTGAAAAGAGGGTGCTTCTAAACATACTTTGGGGTTCTAATACTCTGCCTTTGCTTCTGTTTCTTAGTGTGCACAGGCTTGACATGGTATATTATAGTGTTTTCTTTCTAAAAACAAAACTACCATCAAGATGTGTAGAATCCCTTTGGGGTGCCATGGACTTAATCCAGTGTTGCTGCCATTGGCTCAGCATTCTGGGAATTCTGAATAGATTTTTCCCTTAAGAGTTAGTACATGATATAGACCCATCTTTGTAGGGCAAAAAAATAGTCAAAGGGGCCCTGTAACATGGACAATCCACACAGTTCTAGAATAAACCTGGCCTGTCTATGACCCTATTAAACATGGGGCTCCTTCACTGGTCTAGTCATTTGAAATCATGTTTGATTTCCTAGTGGATTGTCTCTTTGTCTACACTCCTTACCACAATGATAAATGAGTCAAAGTAGAAGATGGAAAGACTTGATGACAAAACCAGCTTCTTATTTTGAATAGTTAAGTAGATGTATCAGTAAAATAAAACCACAAATACCTATTAAGATACTTTATAAAACTTATACCATTTGTAAAAAGTGTTTTGTTTGTTGAATAGTTTGTTTCCTTGTATTAAAAAAAATAACTCAAAAAGAAAAGGACTTTGAGGCCATTAGTGAAAGTGAAAGGGATCAGGCAAGACGCAAAAGATTTCATTCTACATCCTAGGCAGTTTGCCTAGGAGAAGAACTCACTGGGAAAACAAGCAAAGAAATGGCAGAAAGAGGAGATTCAAGCAGGTGTATTTGTTCATTTTGTGCTACTAAAACAGAACAGCTGAGATTGGGTAATTTATAGAGAACAGAAGCTTATTTCTCATGGGTTGTGAGGTTGTGAAGCTGGCAAGTTGAGACCTATTACTTCCAAGATGGCATCTTATACACTGTGTCTTCCAGAGCTTTGAGGGGGCAGGAATGCCATGGAAGAAGAGAGCAAACCTACTCCAACAAGTCTTTTTTTTTTTTTAAATAACAATCTACCTTCTGAAAGGCCCTTCTTCCCAATACTGTTGCACAAGATATTAAGCTTCCAAAACATGAGTGTTGGGGGATACATTCAGACCATAACATCACAATAAATTCCAAGGACAAGCGGAGAACTTAGGGATCTTCTGTAGATGTACACCAGCAGTGATTCCATGGGGGTGAAACTTCATTCCTTAAGTCTGGTTGCTAATGGTGAAGAGAAAGTACTTTACTATTACTTTGTAACGGTGTTTAGGCTGATGAAGTTGGTTTTAAAACAAAGTATAAATTAAGTTATCCAGTGTGAAAGGTGTGTGTAAGTGTGTGTGTGTGTGTGTGTGTGTGTGTGTGTGAAAAAGAGAGAGAGAGAGAGAATCCATGTCTTATAAATTGTGCTGAAGGCAATTCCTAGGAATTCTTAAAGTATTTTCTGCAGCATCAATACATTGTCATTGGAATAATTCAGTCTAATCATCCCCAAGTTAGTATATTTAAAGTAAGAGAAAAATACTCTTCTAAGGACACAAGTCTGACCCAGAGGAGAGCACCTAGTCTAGAACAGCCCACAGAACAAGACTGACAGATGGCCTCATCTCAGCTGCCACTTCTCAGTGGTCTTCTCTTTCACTGAGAGTTTCTCACTGAGAATGTCTCTGAGGGCAGAGGGTGAATTAAGCAGGTATGAAATCCAGTTTCCACTAGATATATCTGCAGAAATGGGACTTTGTGTATGTAACTGCACATTTATCACACCTGTTCTAAGCTGCATACTACCCCTTCTCACATGACTGAGCTCTCCTTGCTCCTTCTTTGTCTTCCTGAAATGTCCACTCATTACAGTCTGTTTAGGAGCATATGCATCTTCTTCAACTCATGCTGCACTTACTCCACTGGAAGTCATTGCGTCATTTACTAATTAGTTTAAAGTAGTCTCATTAGTTATTCGTCTCACCACAGGGTAAGGTCAGCTACTGTGACAGAATTTGAGGGTTTTTTTTTTTTTTTTTAACTTCGGAGAGTGGGAGAGAATGGAGGATAAGTGGCACCACCATCATGTGTGATGTCAGGATTGGGTAGAGAAAGCATAGACAAAATGAAGGCTTTCATTCCTCAAGAGAATAGTGAATAATTGGTGCAAAGAAATAAAAGGCACCAGTGTAAGTTGGTACCTTAGGCATTTTTTGCTATTTTATAATTTGCTTAGATTATTAGGCCAAGGGCTGGGGGAGGCCTTTCCCTTTTGTGACACTTTCTTTTAAACCTGAACTCTCCCTACTCTTTTGGCCCTCATGGTGGCTAAATGGCCTTTGACAATCAGTGTTGAACAAGACAAGCCTGAGATCACTTAAAAAATCAGAGAAGAGCTCATGGTGGCAAAGCCCTGGCAAAGTCAGTGAGCTCTTATCTCAACAAAATGCAAACAAAAGGGCTGGGGATGGGGTGTAGATCCAGGGATGGAACACTTGTGAGAGACCCTGTACCACAGAATTTAAAAAAAAAAAAGTAAAAAGCCAAGAGATCAAAATAATGTAGGAATCACTGATTTCAAATTAGTTAACTTTGTTTTAAGTTCACATTTCCATGATACAGTATTTTCTGTGTCAATTGTTACTGGTGATACCAATGAAATCACGAATGGAATGGGTTTGACAGAGGTAAAAAGGTCTTTGTTGAAGCTCATAAAGCTCATGTGCATGAAATGAGATTCCATGGAGTCAGGCTGTTTTAGGGCAGA